AAATCACTTGTATACCTTTGCCTAATTCTTGTAGCAAGCAGTGAAGCGGAAACATACAAAGAATCATACAGGCGACCAAGTCATTATATCTGATCTTTTCTGCGTCAGATAGAGAATAGTCTTTAACGACCTATGCCATATCTTGAACGAATGTTTCGTGCGCCTTTGAATTCATCTTCTACAGAGCTATTTTGACCTCGTCACGTATCCCATACAAACATCTAGCCTCAACACCCTCCCAAACGATGTTTTACGAAGTTTTGAGCATTTCCAAAAAAAATGTTTTTTTAACCTTTGACCTTTGACCCTGACGCAGACAGACAAACAAACAAACAAACGTTTTTTTTAAAATGACCCTCCTTTCAGTCGAGGGAACATGGTCAGCTTTTTTTATTTATTATGCAACATCAATTAATTTTCGATCTGTTTTTATTTTAATATTTAAGAAAAACAATCGAATTCAACATTGAAATATTGTTCAAATCCAAAATAAGATATAAATTAAAACAATATATTTATAAATCATTGTAGTTAAATTTAAAGAAAAATATTCATTTTCATTTGTTTCTTCTTCTTCTTCTTTTATGTTAAATGTTTTGGTGAGAAAAATCAATAAAATAAATGCGAAAAGATTAACTGAGACATTTTCCTTATTAAAAAAAACACAAAATATTCTTTTTCTTTCTCATTAATATAATATGTCATGTATGATATGAAGAAAGAAGAAGAAAGTATTGAACTACTATCGAAATAAAAAAAGGCAGGTGCGGAAGAAAGTGGTATAACTTTTGATTGAAAAGTTATTTCGAACTGCGGTTTTCACCTTTCAATAGAAGAGAGTCGGGGATGGACAGTTATAGGATGTCCAGTAAGTGACTAAAGTCGAAGAAAAAATTTGAATACTTTCATCACTCCTCAACTAACTGAGCTGCATGGTTTTGAGAAGGTAGAGGACATGTAGCAGTATTTGTTCATGACAGAACAGGTCATTTAATTTTGACATTCTAAGATTTATTCTTATCCATATAATCCACGAAGAGAACTATCTGAATATGCTATTTAATCTGAATCACACGAACTATGTAGTATAAAGGTATGATTTTTTTGTCAGTTTATTGGAAAAAACCATTCGATTTTGATTAGATTTATAAATAAGATATTGAAATGAAAATAAAAATTCTTTTAACTTAACCTTTTTCTTTGAGAATACGAATAGCTCTTCCTAATCTGGGCCATTCTATTATATTTGAAATATATTTTCAAAAAATCTTCTAACTGTTTTATCGGTTCAATAGTTAACTTGAAATACGTAAATAGTATAAAATGTTTGCTAAAAAATATCCAATGAAAAAAAAGCTTTTTAAATTGAATTATTGGGATAGAAAATAATTTGTTTTATAAGAAAAAGAAAATCATGAAAAGAGAGAAGAAAAAATAGAAATAGAGTGCTCGTTTGAAGTTTAAAATAGTAGCTGACAGGAATTTTGATTTTGAGTTCTATAATGATTTTTCTAGATGAAAAATATTTTAAAAAGTCACTTTTGTTCGTTTTATCTTCTCATAGAATTTCCATTAACAATTATATTGAACTTATGAAAAAAAGAAAACTGAAATTACTCTTTTACTTAGTAGAATTCTTTACTCCTTCCTTTATCAAATTCTTGTGAAATTCAATTTATCTTTATATTAATGATAAGATTTCGAATAATTTCCTTTAGAATAAATATGACATCATTAATAGAAATAACGAATAATATGATTCTTATCAGTTTTATTATTCTATTAATTACGGGAACATTTGGAAATCTCTTCAATGTTTTCATATTTTTATCAAAAGATTTTCGAAAAAAACCTTGTATATTTTATATGAGTTTTTCCTCTATAATGGATTTATGTTTTCTTAATATTGGTATTTTAAGTCGTTTAGGAACAGAATATCTTGGTAATCATATAATAAATACAAATTCTTTTATATGTAAAGTACGTGCTTATCTTATCATTTGTTTATCAGCAATGGCATCAACATGTCTTTTTTTATCAACATTCGATCGATGTTTATCAACATCACGAAATGTTCACTGGAGACAGTTTAGTTCTATGTCTTTTGCTAAACGTCTTTTAATTTTAATCATGCTATTTCTTTTAATTTCAAGTGTTATTTGTTTAATTGTCTATAATCTTTATAATGGTATATGTACAACAACACCTGGCTTTGGAACAATCATTGTTATTGTTTATGGAAATGTTTTTATTTCTTTGATTCCACATGGAGGTATGTTTATTTGTAGTATCGTTACATGGATTCATCTACGACAAATGAGAAATCGAGTTGATACAAATTCTGGCATTAATAATCTAACAATTCTTGTTCAACGAACGAATCGACAATTACTTATTTTAATATTTACACAAGCTTTTCTAGCAATTATATTAGAAGTTCAACGTGATATATCAGCAACGTACAGTTTAATTACAAGTTCAGTAAAGAAAAGTGTTGAACAACAACAAATTGAATATTTTCTTTTACAATTGAGTATTATACTCTATTATATAAAATTTGCAATGCCATTCTATGTTAATTGTGCATTTAGTACATTGTTTCGAAAAACATTTCGGACATCTATGAAATCGTTAATTAGTCGATGTTTTCATTTATGTCAAAATAATTGACGATGATATTACATAGACATAAAAACCTTCTATTTTGTATGCTATTCGAACAATTTAAATCGAAAGAAATTTTAAGAATGTAGATATTTATTATAATTTAATACTTTTTTCACATATAAATATCATCTTATGCTTGCCTTGTGAATTTATTTTTGTAACAGAGAAAATAAATGTAAATATGCATTATGCGTTCATTATTTATTTCTGCATTAATTCAAATAGTTTTACTATCATTAGTATTATTTCTACTTGGTCTATTTTCTATTACTAAGCTTTGAAATTTCTTTTTAAAACGACGAACTTTGAGATACATAATAGAAGGACGGTTGATGATAATAATGAATGTACAGAGAATTCTTTGGTCTCATTATAAAATTGATTAATTTTTCGATAGTTATCGATAAATCTACATACGTAACTTCCAAAATAATCCGTCTGGATTATCTTTTTATTTTTTTCAATAAGTGCTGTTACTAGAAGAATGATGAACTAAGAGAACGAATAGATCACTGAACGTTTACATATCTTTTAAGAGCTTTTTGAATAATTTCTCACGTTTCAGTATAGTATAAAAGTTGTAAATAGAATTTCAGTTGGATTCACAAAATGCTTGAAGATAAACCATATCTTAGATTGTATTTTGAAATCTACTAATTTCATCTTTCTCATTTACCCCCTTTTTTGTTTAATTCTGTATATATTCATACATATATCTAAAGAAGAATTCAGTTGATTTTTTTATGAATATTACTTTGCAGAATGAGCTGACAGATGGATTTACAAAGATGAAAATCTTGTTTAAATATGGGTTGAGAGAAAAAAAAGCATTTTGGGGATTGGTCAAGAAATGAATGATGAGAGATGAGCGTTTTTTGCTAATATTCAAATATCTTTTTAGAAGCAAGCTCAATATGATCAGAGTGGTAATTGAACATTTAAATTCTGTTATTTATTTGCTGGATCTAATAGGTTGTCCGAAAAGTCCGTGCAACTCATTTCACGGTACATCCGCAATGCATTTCGTTTCAGTTATCCTATAGAGGGTGCAGTAGTACTACAATATATAATTTTTCATCTGATTGGC